AAGAATTTTTTGACAGAAAAATTCAATAACAGATTTTTTGCACGACGCGGGATTCGAACCCAGAACCTCATGATCAATAGTCGTACTAGTACAACCACTAGACACAGTGGTTGGTATAGGTTGTTTACATCTCACGTAATCAAAATAATTGTACCGCCATCTATCGAAGACCTTATAATAAGATTTTATGACATTATAAATTATAAGATCGCAATGTAGTTATTTTCAAAACAAGTATTTCCTGTAATCGCTGCGCTTTGATGGTGGACTGACATCCGCTGATTTCAATCATCAGGCTTGCTCCCGAACAAATTCAAATCGACAAATGAGTCAAGGAGAAGAGACGTCATTTTATAATAAATTTTTGATTATCATCACCATTAGGCACATCTGAATATAATTTATCCAGATGTCATTTTGAATAAATTAAATGTTTACTTAATACTAATATTTAAATAGAAATAAGCAAACGCATCAAGAAAAAGCATATGCACGTAGCTTGCGACTACAAGCGCCACCTAGCGGCAGGCAGCAGATAACTTCCGTTCTGATAATTTCAATTTGGACCACTTAACGATTGTGCGTAAGCTAAGGTAATGTTTGAGGGTAGAAAATTACCTTAAGGTCAAATAAAATTGATGATATTGTTCTTTTATTCATTCATCACGTAAAAGTCTACAACTGGACGTATGGGCAACTATTATTTATTCTGTGGTATGGGCCTCTCCCGGTAAATAGAAATGAAGCTAATAATCTCCCGATTACTAGATGTCGCTAGCCACGACTTTTGACTTTCGCTTTTATATTTAAAATTAATAATGACGATGAAAGCACAACTTATTAGCACATTCCATTGAGTTATACAAATTTATAAACCAATGGCACATTCACTGTCCCGTGCACTACAACTTCATTCATTGCTATTGTCTTGAACTGAACTGAAAATCGGACAGTAAAAGTGTCAAGATGGAAGTTAGTTTGTTAGGAAAATGTAAGGGTTAATGTTAAAATTTTTTGTTTGCTCCAAAATTGTTTGCACATTTTAACTCTTTTTATTATTATTTTATATTTAGGAATATCCATAGTTTAGTTTATTTCGTTTAGTTTAATAATCAAAAAAGTGGCGCCACCCTGGTGAACGAAAATGTCGTACTACTTACTGCCATCATTGTCGTTTGCCATACTCATTGTGGCTGGTATATAATGTATTCTGTGGTGTATGGTCAATTGCCAACCTAATCCCGACAATCAAAACGGTGAATGAATTCACTTACATATTTCAGTCGTTGCCAGTTTTCGTATTTTTTTATACGTGAAACAATAAAATGGTTATAACGCCATCTATTGCACACCACAAAAAGTTTTTCCGTAGTGGACATTTAAAACACCTCTTAGTAACTCAACAAGGTGGCATGTATATAAAAAGTACTCTATAATGGATTTTAACATCTCAGCTATGGAGTGTAGAAGTAAGGAGTAAGATTTTTATGGACACTTTTTAATACGCAGTCTGTAGACTGTGTATTAAAAAGTGTCCATAAAACCTTTAAATAAGGGTGGCGCCACTATATAGCTACGGGATAAATTTTAAAGAACGTACCGAAAGATATTAATGGGATAGGCGACTTTTTCGAGGTTATATTTACTAAATAAAAATATTTTAGATTTTAAAGCTACTGAGTAGTTTAGCAGCACACTTCAAACCGTCGAAACTGCTAAGTCCATTTCATGCCAGTAGCTACTCCAGCGCTGTTGTGGAGTTTTTGAACTGTTGTTTACTGCTTACAGATGACCACTTTTTTAACTATTCTACTATGGGAATTGGTACTCCTTACTTTTACACTCCATAATCTCTGCTAAATGGCGCTATTACAGTAAATAAGATGTAAAATTATGGAGTGTAGTGTAGAGGTAAGGAGTACACACTCTGTATAAAAGCGTCCGTAGGAAAGCGTTAAATAAGGATGACGCCACTGTAGCTACAGTCATAAATTTTAAAGAACTTTTTATAATTTTTTATTGCACAGACTTTAACCTTAATTCTTTTTACAATAATTATTTTATTTTATTGCTTTACGGCGATTTATCATACCCCGTGCATATTCGAGCGCTGTTGTGGAGAGTTTCTGAACTGTTATTTACTGCTTACAGATGGACACATTCTCTACTATTCCCCAATGGGAGATTGTCCTCCTTACTTCCACACTCCATATGTAAAATGAACGAAACAAAAACGATACCATAAATGAATAGGAATCCAGATAAAAAAGAAAAAGCTATGATCATAGAGAACTTGGAGCTACTGGGAGAGAAATTTGGGCAGTACAAAAGTCCCTTTAGCGGTGCCAAGTTGACGTCAGTATATCGAAGTAGTACTGAAGTGTTTGTACAGTAGGGCTACGATGTCCACCCGAGTACAGAACCAAAGTACGGAACCTATCCAACCGCAGAGGTGTAGACAGGTTGCAGTTATATTTCCGAAACTCTTCACCACTGCATTGGAACAAGTTTTCAAGCTACTGGATTGGATAGATTACGGTATCAACACCAATAGCGAGTACATCAGTCACCGTCATAGAGAATATAACCACTAGAGAGCGTATAGGCAGATTTCTTCTAAGCATACGACTCACTACTGCGGGCCGGGGGACGAGGAAGAACGCGTGGCTGCAAATGGTCAAGTTACGTTGTTATGGCTATCTTTAGGGTTGCTCTTCTTAATAAAGGAAAATATTCGTTATCGATAAAATGGATTTTATCATTATGAAAAATACTCAATTAAAATTATAGAAATAATATTTAATCAAAATCAATCGGTTACAAGGAAAACATTTATTTGTTATATTATTATTGATTTTTAAAATAAATTAATTTGTTATATTTATTTCGAATTAAAGTTTAAGGGTCCTGATTGTTCTTTGTAAAAAAATTTAAACAAGCGGCTACATATTTGTAAATTATGCATCTTGCTAATTAAATTAAATGATTTGTTGATTCTATTTCAAATTGATGAAAATGAATATACGGGAATCAATAATACCTAATCAGAGATTTTAAAAACCGTTCTCATAAAATAATTGGTACTATATTTCGAAGACAGCATTTTTGAACCACTCTCACTGTTCGCTCTCTTATTAAAAATTTTACAACGACGACAAATATATATTACTGTAGTGGATCCGTACAATAACTTGTTTTTAGTGTCCTTTTGAAATTGTAAGCCGTTCTGATTTGGTACACCAATCTAACTAATTTAACTAGGTAACTATAAATTTTAACTAAGAAAAAAATACCGACAAACTGAGAACCTCTTCTTTTTTCTGGAGACGGTTAAAGGTAGATAAGTATTTTTTCACAGTGTGTGAATTGAATAATCTTTTTATTAATTTTTATTTTATTATTTTCGATATCGACTTTGAGCTATTAAAGGTAACAGTAAGTCCTAATGTTTACGATAAACATACAAAGGGAAAGAAAGGGATAGAAGCATTAGAATTGTCTAATAATAGAACGAGACTTTTCCAAAAGACATCAACGCGCGACTCAACCATGTCGTTATTTCACCGGCCACCGTTTTAGATAGACCCCTACAATGGCTCATAATTTGAATAAATCAACAATAATTTTCGTATTTTTTACTTAGCAATGAAAAGTTACTACATTCTTTTTGGACATCTGTCCTGGAATGTTTTCCACACCACTGCACCGCGCATTTTGATGCATTATAATTGCATAAAAGTTATAAAATTTGCATTAATTTAGCCTGCACACAGGTCTAACACTTGGACAACACTAAATTGGTTAATAGTACCATAGCCGATGCATAGGCGACAAAATACTAATAGTTTTCGAGCGTCGGGGCACTGTATGCGCAGTTAAGTGGTTATATAGTCTTTGGTCACCGTAGATTCGCCGAAGATATAGTCCTTTTGATAGAATCGCTGGAGGATCTAAGCACTATGCTCAATGACCTCAATAGTGCCTCCCAATGGATAGGTCTTAATATAAACATGAACAAAACAGCCTCTTGTCGGTAGGCGGAGTGTAGGGCCCACAACTAATGGAGTGAAGACCTGGCAAGACATGCAGGAAGTCGATAGATCTAGGTGGCTCAGAACCGTGCTTTGTGGCATTCCTTGGAGGAGGCATATGTTCAACAGTGAACTTGTGAAGGGCTGTAATTATGATAATGAGTAATTATCTGCAAGATTTCAATATTCACTGCTGAACATCAAAAAAAAATTGCTACTCCGTAGATTGCCCCATAGGGGATGGGGGATGTATGCATACTAGGCGGGTTGGCGGCCACACATTTTATTTAATTTTTAAAAGACGCTGGTGCCTATTTTCCGCTTCATTTCAGGTACAACACCGACTGGATAACATGAGATAGTGGATTTAGGCTGCCGCAACACGATCATATTGCTATCATACATATAAAGGGTAATTGTAGTGTTCTCAAGCTTGTTATATGAATCTCGAACGTTTTAGAGATTCAGTTTAAAAAAGTGTATAAAATTTAAAAATACAAATAAAATCGTTAAACATGTTTTATTAATACAATTTCTAAACATATATTACACCGATAAATATATATATATATACAGTGAATTTCGTTAATAGCGACCTCGGTTGTAACGACTTTTCAGTTATAGCGACGCCAAACTTACGTCCCTTGAATTTAAAGCATACTTTCGTAAGAAATTCATTCGGTAATAGCGATTTCGGTTATAGCGTCAATTTTGGGTATAGCGACTTGTTTTTATGAACCATTTATGACCGATTCCTAGAAATCCCTTGCCGATATTGCGACTGAGTCCGCAAAGGCACAAAGACTCATTCATAAACTATTAAGCTTTCTTATCCTTTGTTTACATTCACAGATGGTCAAACTAAAGCTTTGTTTGTATGTAGGACTACCAAGCATGTTTACGAAGTTAAACTTGTGAATCAGACATAGCAATTCCAGTGAGTGCACAGTGTTTCTTAAACTTGTGAATATGGCTCCTAGACATACATTTACTGTTAAAGAAAAAGTGGACATCATTTCTAGACTGCAAAATGGAGAAAACCATGTGAATCTGTGTAAACAATTTGGAGTTTCACATTCTACAATATCAACGATGTGGAAAAATCGCGCTAAAATTATGGAGTGTTTTGAATCAAAATCCCTGAAAATAAAGAAAAACCGTAATCCAACTCATCAAGATATTGAAAATACTCTCCTAGTGTGGTTTAAAGCTCAGAAAAGCCAAAATGTACCCATAAGCGGTCCTTTTTTGCAAGAGAAAGCTAATCATTTTGCCAGACAGCTCGGGAAAACAAACTTTGTATGTTCAGAAAGCTGGATTTACAGATTTAGACAACGTCATAATATAGTGGTCGGTAAAGTTTGTGGAGAAGCCGCCAGCGTATCACAAAATGACTGTAACAATTGAGAACAGTTTTACCAAAATTAACTGAAGGGTATACCGACAGTCAAATATGCAACGCTGGTGAGACGAGATTATTTTGTAATTGACTCCAGATAGAACACTAAAATTCAAAGGAGAAAAGTGTGCTGGCAGCAAACTATCAAAAGATAGAATAACCGTGCTTATTATTGCTTCAAGTATGGCAGGCGAAAAACGAAAATTGCTGGTTATAGGGAAGGCAAAAAAACTAAAGCGTTTCAAGAATGTAAAAACTTTGCAAGTTGATTACGAAGCCAACAAAAAAGCGTGAATGACATCGGAGATTTTTGAAAAAGTTTTACGGAAATGGGACTCTCAGCTAAGAGGAAACAAAAGAAGATCATTTTATTTATTGACAATTGTCCAGCTCACCCACAAATTCAAAATTTGACTAACATCAAACTGGCATTCTTACCACCGTTTTTGGTGGTCAGATCAGTTATTCAGCCTATTTATCAAGGTATAATTGAGACTCTTAAAGGCCATTATCGAAAACTTCTAGTGGAGAAAATGGTAAACGACATTGAAAAAAGTACTACCCCATTTGCCGTCAATCTTCTGGATGCCATTGAAATGACAACAATAGCATGGGCACGAGTTACTCCAGACACAATAAAAAAATGTTTTTCACATGCTGGGTTTGGTAAATTTTTGAATTTAAATACAACTGATGACGATTCTGATGATGAATTGGACAATTTGCCATTGGCGAGATTATCATCAGCGGAAGCAACAGTTACGGATTGGGAAACTTATGTGAATATTGACGATCAAGTTATCGCTACTGATAACTTGACTGATAATGAAATTATTGAGTCTGTGCTTCAAACACAAGAAAAGGAGGATGAAGAAGAGGAAGATTGCAATCTAAATGAGATTCCAACAACTAGAGATGCATTATGTGCTATAACAACGCTCAAAATGTACTTTTTATTTGGTGAAGGCCAGAATAATTTAGATATTGAAGGAATTATGAAAATGGAATACACCTTACAGAGTGGACAAAAAACCAAACTTAAACAGTGCACTATAACTCGTTTTTTTAATAACACCCGTGTATATAACATAATTAAATAAATGATAAGTAAATATGTACATGACTTTTTATTATTTCGGATATAGAGACCTCCGGATATAGCGACGACATTAAAGTGGTACCTCCGCCGTCGTTATAACCGAAATTCACTGTATATATATATATAGTATATAACTCTCTATACAAATAGTGAAACATCTTGAAAAGTAATTACATATTTTACACTTTTAACCTTTTCCTAATAACCCTGAATAATTTGATTTCGCGTCATGTCTCAGAGATACAGATAAAAATTATATTTTACAAAACAAAAAACAGAAAACGATTTAAGATAAGCACAATAATATTAAAAAAGAACATCATATGTACTCGTTAGTCAATTTATAGATATAGTATGGAATGTTTAAAAAAAAAGAAAAATCTTTTGCTCTATCTTAATATTTAAAAGTATTGTTTTAAAAACTAGTTCTGTAAAGAAGCAACCTGTTCATAGACAAATGTGGAATTCAATTTAGTGAAATTAACACTCTAAAGTAAATTTTAAGTAATTAGTCCGGGGTAGGGATGTGCAAATGAAAAATATATCGGTATTTATCATATTGATATTTATCGAATCGATATTTTAGTGTCGAACAGTATCGATAATTATCGCGTGACTAATATCGATATATCGTCATGTTTTGCATGATGTAGTGGGATGACATCGACGATAAATATCGATAATTTTGTGCCAAAATATTTCGATATGTCGATGTTTTTTACCCAAGCCTATTCCAGAGTAGGTACTTACTTAATTATCTAAAAGGTTTGCTACTTACTCTAATAGGCCGTCAAAGTAATAATAATGTTAAAATATAAACGTACAAAATAAAATTTTCTGGAGAACAATAGTACACGAAAAATAGGAAGAAACCAACTGAAACTTAGTGTCGCGGAAGGTAGGACATTAGCGCCCTCGTACGTAACAAACATGGCGACATCGGACCGCATATATAATTGGTAACATTTTAATTTGCGAACAGGAATTAATTTACGAAAGTAATGGCAGACATTTTCATATAATTAATATTGAAAATTTTCAATTTCATTTCAATAATAAAAAAATATCGGAAATAGACATAATCATAATGTTTTTAATGGCAGTTTCGTCTCGACTAGAACTTTGGCTGCATCATGATTTTTTTTGAGCCCAGAACATTAGTTAAATCTGTAAAATCAATTTGAAAGGGGTGACTTTGGGGTAACCTAGCCATTTTGAATTTATTATGCACAAGTGCATGTTTCAAAACTAAGTACCTACGCACGTTTATCGAAATTGTTATATTATAAAAATGTCTAGACATTGTTTGAATGTAAAATCTAGAGAAAAATACTGGTAACACAACATTAGCTTATTGCATTTCGTAACTTTTCCTTTTAAAGAGCGAAAACGATGAACATGGAAGTTATTTTCGTATTGTATATGGTGTGACAATTATTTTACATAATATATAAAATAAAGAAAGATAAAAATTACTGCAGCATCTGCATTTTAATTATTTGTATGAATTTATCTATGACTATTGTCAAATAATATACAAAGTTTATTTTTCTTTACAATGGAATCATAGCCAGGTACCAACATCGCACTCATGCCACAGCTATCCCTCTTGTGTCGACATTAAAGTATCAAAAACTTCTGAGCCTGGAATAACAATGTCGTTTGCCGACCCGAAGTAGCTGGCAAAGTTGAAAATACTAGATTCCTGTCTCACATTCTCGTTTGAACTAAATTGAGCTTTATTCTTACTATGCATTGGGGTTGCATTCGCGCTTAGTGATTTTTGAGTCAATATGGGAAAGGTGTCCAAGGTTTCGGGATCGAGAACAGTTTGGTCCTTCATGTCGGATACGTGGCGATTTTCCTGCGGATCGTATAAAGTGGCCTCTTTTAGCGATATTTCTTTAGCACCGTTGTAAGGATTGGTTAAATATTCCGCGTATAGCTCGCTTTGCTGTGTATCTTCGAGTATAGTTGTATTTTTATCTAAATTGGTGATATTGGATAAAGGTTCTATTTTTTCAGATTGAGGATCACTTTGATTTGTATCTGACCGATATTGAAGTGAATTTTGAGTGGGTTGGGATGACTGTGGATATAAGACAGCCGGTTGCGGCGTTTGTATCGATATTCCTATTGGCGTTGAAATCATCTGGAAAACAAAGTATAAAAGTTAAGTCTACAATACATGAAAACAAAAACGTAACCTTATCATAAATAACGCTTAAGAGTTAAGACTATATAAAATGTGGAAATAATTTGGTTTTAACGCTCGCCAAGGTAAATTTTTGATTAAATATATTATGTAAATTTTAAATTATATGTAGTCGCAATTTATATAATGGACCTACCTCATTTAAGGGTTGTAAAAGTACAGAGGAAGTCAGTCCAGTTTGATCGTACAGCGAATTTCTAATCGGTACCATTCCGCTAACTGGTACAGGTGTTGGTACCGTTCCAGCTATTGCAGGTCCAGCTCCGCTTAAAGTTGGTGCAGCAGTATTTAAAGTTTGTGATGCGTCGGTTACAGTTGGCACAATACTAATTGGTGTTGGTGCTACTAAAGATGGTGTGGCTATAAGCGGAGGCGTTTGGACCAAATTTACTGGCGAATGCGCCATCGATGCGACTAGAATATTCGGTGATTGAGCCAAGGATGTCTGGACGTGGATTGAACGGGATGTTTGAGCCAATGTGCTAGGTATTTGGTTTGATGAGTTAGGTATCACCTGAGTGTTGGTAGCGTTCGGCGGACTGGACCGTACTGGAAGGATAGTCGGCGTATTGGGCCCAACTGGGATGAGGGTTGGTAAGGACGAAGGGATTGGTGGTTGTAGGTGGTTCGGTAGATTCGAAGCAGGTTTCATGTTGTCGTTCACTGAAAATAAAATAATTTGATAGATTGACAAGTTAAATATAGAGGAATATATTTTAATGTTATCAAAGTTGTACCATCTGGAAACAGCTCTTCTTTCAGACGTGGTAGGAATTCACCAACGATCTCCCATGTAATGTACCATAGGTCATTGTAATTGTCGCCAGTGTTGAATATCTGAAAGAAATTAGTCACAAGATATATTGGGGACACTGATTTTACTTTAACCTGTACATAAAAATATACAAGATGTCATTAAAACCCATGTGTAATAAGTATTTTGGTTAAATGGTTATATCCAAAAAAGCTTCGGAAATAATAATGATAGCAATCATATTTAAAACTTCAAAATAAAAAAATACAGTATACTTCATTAAGCTTTAAGCTTATCAATAGATGCAGAAAATGTAATATGAGCATAACTTTCAAAGTGGAATATAAATCGTTAATATACATCCCTACTATGAGGCAATCAATGGGCTCCGATAGGCTGCAATAATGATAGATGTTGATCTACGTTATGTCTGGTCTTGTCTTACAGTTTTCAGTAATTTGTTATGCAAAAATTGTTATTGAAAATTTTAGTCTTACATTTTAGTTTTAGTTTAGTTTTACGTGGTAGAGCCATGCTGCAGTTATATTAGTAGTATAATTGTAGCACGAATGGGTCGACTCGATCGGGAAAGGACCACGCTCTCACAGAATACCAGCGTAAAATAGTAGCTTAATGCTGCTGTTTCGTATGGTGAGTTTAGAGAACCGGAGACCCTTTTTACTGGAAATGAGGCATCCCATCTAAGTTTTCACGGGTGACAACGCATCTGCATTTTGATTCGTAATCGATGATAGATATAGATGTCTATGGGCCACAGCAACCACTTACCGTCACACCGAATGTTATATTACATCACTGGCTAATTACACGCTAATAAATATAACAAGAGAAATAACATAAACAGTTACATATATAGCCAAATTAATACTGGCATAATGATAAATTGTTAAATAGCTAGTATGATTAAAACTACTTTTACGGATTTTATCGCGTTTATTTTTACTTTTTATTTACTTTTATTTTTAATTCCCGACGTTTCGGGCGCTTTCCAGCACCCATGGTCACGGGGGACTGAGATGACTGACGTCCCGATGTCATTGTTAAACCCGGAGTACCTTCAGCTTTTTTAATTATTGTTTATGGTTAAAAAAGCTGAAGGTACTCCGGGTTTAACAATGACATCGGGACGTCAGTCATCTCAGTCCCCCGTGACCATGGGTGCTGGAAAGCGCCCGAAACGTCGGGAATTAAAAATAAAAGTAAATAAAAAGTAAAAATAAACGCGATAAAATCCGTAAAAGTAGTTTTAATCATGTATAGTGTTCGCGTAAATATAAGAAATCATTAAATAGCTAGTAACTTGGATTTATAAGGATACATACGCGAAATACTGTAAATAATAAAATGTAAAAAAAATATATATATATATAAATAAAAAAAAAAACTCAGAAAACACAAAAAAAATATAAGAATTACAAACACCCAGAAATAAATGGTGCTGTAAAATAAATAATAGCAGATGAATTGAGACTTCTAAAAATAAAACCACTTACCATCAGGCGGACAGTGTGCTCGTTTGTCACCCTATCCTATAAAAAAGTCTTCAGAGATGACAACGTATAAGCCTCTTTGTTGCAGTTGGGAGCAGGTGCCCATGAATGGCAGCAGTAACTTTTTTTTAATAGAATATGGGTGACGAACGAGCACACAGTTCACTTGATGGCTATATAGCTGCAGCGGTGCTCTACCACGTTTAAAACTTATGGCAATAAAGTGGGCTGTTAACTTGCAAGTGGTGAGACAATCTGCAGCTATATTATGCGTGCCCAAAGAAAATACGCGCTCCACCAGGGGAAGGAGCACACTCTTCTTACAGAACACTAGCGTAAAATAGCAGCGTATTTAAAAAAAATAGAATATGGGTGACAAGCGAGCACACAGTCCACCTGATGGTAAGTGGATGTTGTGGCCCATAAACATCTACATTTATCCTCGATTAAGAATCAAAACGTAGATGCATAATATACCCTGACGACTAAGATGGAATGTCTCGTTTCGAGCAAAAAAGATTCTCCGGATCTCTACATTCACCATACGAAACACAGCAGTGTTAAGCTTTTTTATAATAACTTTATTTATTTATTTAATTTCATTTGGTATTTTCAAATTTGCATAGGGTAGGGAGCATCTTTTAAGTACCTTAAGGCACTTGTGTCAGAGACTCCCGCTCTTATATAGCCAAACAAAACGTTCAAGAGACATGAAATTACATATTATACAAAATAATAATAATATTAAAAAAAATGTGTGTGTGTGTATCACACATGTGTGGTTTTTTTTCTTACCCTATGTGTCGAAATATAAGTTTTTCTGTGTTCGTAAGATAGGGTCTTTAGCCAATTTATAATCAAAATCTTGCAGTCCTTGGAATTTCTGCAGTAAATATTAAGCTTTTTGTTGACAACATTATATAGATAGATAGATTGGTTAATGAACTGACGTCTAGCGAATGCAGTTTTAATACAAAATGAATTTAATATAATGTCTTTTCTTCTTTTGTTCAAAATATTTGGGTCGAAAATCAAACCTTTATGCTTTTTTAATATTGTGTATAAATTATATAATTTCCTTACACTTAGTATATCAGATTTTAAACACAGGCTTTTAGTTGGGAATTAAAGGCAAAAAGTACGTTGTCTTTACTAAGGCACGTAGAGCTCTTTCTAACTGCAATAATTTTGTTTTTGTTGCTACACCCCATATCGGAAGGCAGTAAGTTATTAACGATTGAGCTAATGCTACATATATTTTGTTAATGAGCGTATCTGAAGTAATATGTTTAAGCGTTTTAAAAATCCAGGCTAATTTTCTAAATCTACATGTTATTACATCGATATGTTCATGCCAAGTTAAACGTTCATCTATACGTTACTGGGGCGGCACTAAAAATTTCGGGAATCAAGGAAGTGACACAACATTACTATTTAAAAATGTATTTATTGCTTTTCGAAGTATTCTCCACGAAATTTGACATTCATAGAAAAGTAGTCTCTAAATTTAAGTTTTAATGGTCTAAAGTGCTGTGGGTGTGCGTGGTCGAATTCGACCGCTGCGCTATACCGTTAAAATTCAAGCGGTCGGAATCGACCGCGCACACCCACATCACTTTAGAGATTGAAGGGTAAACTCAAGTTCAAATATGTAAATTAATGATATACCGTTATTGTAGTTCTTGAAAATACAAATAAATAAGGCTACTACTTTTATTTGAAATTATCCCAAATCGAACGTGATTTATGGGCAACAACGTTTTTGCATAACGATTGACCCTTACGAATGTTTGCGTGTGTACTTAAAATAAATAAAAATAAATAAATTAAATTGAATTTAAAAGATAAAAAGGATAGAATGTTTGAAATTTTTTTAAAGTAATTTTTCTTCGTCATTGGGTTATTGGCTGAATAAGTGTATGATGAGCACTGTGTTAGGAGTCTTTGAGAAGTTCAGAATTTGGAAAAGTATAGTAAATCGACTGTTTTTTTTTTAATTTCTGTGGAAAATGTATTATAGTACTTGATATATGTACACAGTGCACACAGAGTACCTAACGTATCGAGGTGTGTACAGTAGTCTGTTCATACAATAAAGAGCACTGACCCCGACGGAGTGCATGACGAGCAGCATGTTCTTGAGCGATTCGAGCGCCGCCTCCTGCAGCGGCTCGCGCGGCGCGGCCAGCAGCGCGCGCTGCACGCGCAGCACGCGCGCCCACAGCGCCGCAAAAGACGCGCGCGAGCTCAGCGCGCCCAGGTGCTGCAGGAACACCTGCACACACCACACATGCCGAAATATTTAAACACTACTATTTATTACATATATTTCCCAACGAGCATACCGTCCGTCAATATGCGGATGCGTAATCACTCCTCAGAACTAAGGTTGAATGCCTAGTTTCCAGTAAAAAAGTCTCCAGTGCTCTATACTCACCATACGAAACACAGCAGCATTAAACTGCTATTTTACGCTGGTATTTTGTGAGAGCGCGATCCTTCCCTGCTTGAACCGACTCATTCCTGCCCGAACAATAATATAGCTGCAGCTTGGCTCCCCCACTACCACATGCTGCCCCAGTCACTTTAACGTAAAGTGATAGAGACAGCACGAGACGTAAAATTGTGCAGCTTTTCTGTATTTTGGCAACACACTCACAACAACAACACACGTAGTTTTGGCGGGAACTTAACCACCACTAAATCTCTCCTTACTGGAAACGAGGCATTCCATCTACTCATCTTCAAGTCTTCATGACAACGCGTCTTATGTTTTGGTAGGTACATAATCAAATAAAAACTTATATATTGACCACAGCATCCACGTACTGATATTGGTACACTGTGTGCCTGTTTGTCACCCTCATTCTATAATTGTCTCCGAATTGAATCACTATGGACTCAACGCCCACACTCTTATAGTCCATTGAGATTGGACATGACCGGAGAAAGATCAGGCACACGACCAACGAAATCACATGTTTTTCGAGGCACAGTGTTGAAACGCCAACAAATTCCTGACTTTTTTATAGGAAAAGGGTAAGTGGTTGCTGTGGCCCATAGACATCTAGATCCATTCTCGTTTGCGAATCAAAATGCAGATGCGTTGTCACCCGTGAGGACTAAGATGGAATGCTTCTTTTCCAGTAAAAAGGGTCTTCGGTTCTCCACACTCACCATACGAAACACAGCAGCATTAAGCTATTTGACGCTGGTATTCTGTTAGAGCGTGGTCCTTCCCCGGTCGAGCGGACCCATTCGTGCTACAAGTATACAATTAATAAAGCTGCACCAGGGCTTTACCACGTGTAAACACTGACTCCAGGCTGCTGCTAGGAATTTCTTGTCAGAAACACTCCGTAACTGATTTTGGCACGACCAGAGACCTCAGGACCAATAGTCACGCTTTACTGCCACTTGACTTACGAATTTATTCCACTATTGATTCACTATTCTAAAAGTTTATGTTATCACATGTGTAAATCTCAATTTTATAATTGTTGTCCAGTGTTTTGCATGTTTGTGAGGACTTAAATATGAGAATATGTTACTAACGTTTTTTTTTTATCTAAGTTACCGTATTTAATGCAAATAAATGATTTGGTTTGACCCTATGACCTCCTGCTACGTTACTACTCTTACTTTAAGTTTAGAACCTGATTAGGGATGACCGATATTCACAGATGGTAGATAAAAAGCGAGATAACATCGATGTTACAAGAATAATATCAAAACATATCGATGTTCCGATATTATTCTAGGCCATTAGGATCCATTATTTTTATGACAACTCCTAGAATCCATCTATTTAAAGTTGAAAAAAGAAGCTATTAAACATTTGTGCCGCAGAGTAATTTCGACAGCTTCCGATGGACTTTTTTGACAAAGGAACATATTAAAAGAAAAATTTCTGACAAAGTCCCTTTTTTGCAAATTGTATCCAAAAAATACTGGGAATGTTTATTTTTACGTAGCTCTCGGGACCATTGTCTAGTCCGGAGCGTGGTGTCACTGACGCTAACATCGCGGCTGCATTCTGCAGGCTGCCGTCGTGTTTTGCACAATAGGTCAGCCAAACCGTAGGCATCCGTGAGGCCTTCGAGAGCATTTGTCACGTCAAAACCAAGACCTCGACATGATAGGCTCCTTGGTGGAACACTGTGCTAAAGGAGCTTAAGGAAAATATCAGGAAACTATTCGATAGGGCAAAAAAAATCTAAAGCCTGGCATATTTATATTGTAGCTCTAACTGAATATAATTTAGAAATTATGAAATCTAAAAGAGCATCGTCGTGGAAGCTATGCGAAGAAGTTGAGTCTTTGCCTCGCAGCGCAAGACTACACAAAATGCTACCGAAAGCTAAACCTAATCAGATCGGGCTTCTTAAAAAGCCTGATGGTAACTTTACTACTAGTGCAACAGATACATTTGAGTTACTAGCGTCAACCCATCTCCCAAGATCACCTAAGACCTGATCTATTTCAGAGCCTAGAAGGCCTTGTAATGAGGACTGATGCAGGGCTGCAAGGATAATAAGGCCAAACCTGGTGCAGTGGGCTGTTGACTCCTTTGAACCATATAAAACAAGCTAGGAGGATGGAACAATTCCCATACAATTACAGAGGGGTATCGACATCCTTCTTCCTTTTTTGATGAAAGTTTTCAGAGCAAGTTTTGCATGGGGATATATTCCAGAACGATGGAAAATCCTCAAAGTCCTATTTATACCTAAGGCTGGTAGAATGGACTACGCTTTATCAAAGTCTTTTAGACCTATAGGCCTTTATTCCTTTCTTCTCAAGATATTGGAAATAGATAGATATAGGGATGTAGCTCTAGCTACGAGGGCAATAAATTATAACCAGCATGCTTACGGCAGGGGCAAATCTACGGATAAAGCCCTGATCAATGTTATTGATAGGGTCGAAAAGGCGCTAGAGGATAAAGAAATAGCTCCTTGTGCCTTTTGTATTGCCTTATGATTGCCTTAGATATTTAGGGCGCCTTCAACAGTAGCCTCGAGTCACTACTGGTTGTCTGCATCTAAAAATGTTGACACCACGACGACCAGGTGGGTGAAGTCGATTCTCTCAAACAGAAAGGCAAATATAGCGCTGTTTCAAACTTCGATTGAGGTTGCAACTACAAGAGGCTGCCCACAAGGAGGTGTATTGTCACCTCTTCTTTAGACACTTGCAGTTGAACAATCATCAGACAACACAGAAACAGCAGACCTTCGTAATGACACACTGGGTTATGCTAATGACCTAGTGTCATTGCGAAGCATTTTTACCGAAGTACTCTATTATTAAATATACAAAGAGCCCTAAACAACAAAAATAACTGGTGTAGGTATAACAGTTTATCAGTCAATTCTGATAAAACTGCCATAATATCCTTTACTAAAATGAGACGGTTGGAACAAATTAGTCACACCGAAACTTAATGGTGAAGAAGTACCATTATCCTCTGAACATATTAAAATTTGTATTTGGGCGCAACAATCGACCAAAAACTAACGTGAAACTCTCACCTTAGCAACGTACATACGTTATACATGACATCATAAGACTAAAATTGTTTTAGGTGCGTGCAGTCGTATAGTTGGGAAATACTGGGTCTTGCGTTTCAGTATGATCCTATGGCTGTACAGCAGCATAGTGAGGCCGATTCTTATCACCTACGCCTCTATTGTCTGGTGTGATAAGGCCAACCAAAAGATGACTGCGGACAGACTAGTCTACAAAAGACTGCTTGTTTAATGTCAACTGGAGCGATACGATCATCGCCTGAAGCGGCTCTTAATGCACTTCTGTGCCTAACACCCCTTGATTTTTATTTAGACAAGGAGGCGCTAGTATGTATATGATTAACGGCCAGGGTGGTTTGAGCTTGCTTTCGTGTAGATTGAGATCCATGCGCAACTCAATTAAGGACACACCGGTCTCACACATTATATGAATAAAATTATCAGAGGATAGACATTTACAGCACTATTATAGATCTCCTGTGTTGTCAGCACTGTTTGTCAAAAATTAAATGTCATGTCTTGATGTAGGTAGAGTAGTTTGCCGCATTTCCTTATATTTACTTTTACTAAGGAAGTCCCGGCTTTTAAACGTAGTGGTTATATTGTCTTTAATTGACACTATTGAATCAATGTTAACATCGATGTCAACATCAATGTTTATGTAATATCGATCATCCCTTGAGTTGACTGAACTCTCACCTTGCACATGACGGTGTCGGCGCGCGCCGCGGCGTCGGCCCGGCGGGGCGGCTCTGCCAGCAGCGGCAGCAGCACGTGCTCGAAGCACGCCTCCCACCCACCGCCGCCCAGCGCCGACAGCGCGGGCGCCAGCAGGGCACGCTGCAGGTACGCGATTGCGCTGTTCGCTACCTGCAAACACCAACAAAATAACATAAATACACCAAATCAACAAAGCCGTGTAGTAGCGGAGTGAGAGCATCCAATACTACTTATAATCCCGTGAGTTTTTGACGTGAATACGTCTTTAAATTTGCTCCCATAGTGGGAGCCAATTCAGAAAACTGATTGTAAATAAATCGCGGGATACAATTCGGTGTTGCAGCTACATATTTATCATTACTGTACATCCAAAATTTAATTACAACACTCGATAGCTAAAAAATAATAGTATTCGTTACGTCGAGTGAGGACTGGGACGCATCGCCCGCGGGGGAGGGGGAGCGCCGCCATTTTGAGGTCGTTTCGCTGCATGTATTCACGTAAAACACACGGTCGTGTCTACGACATAGCCGAACCCGGATTTTTTATATTATAACTAGTATAAACGTATATAGTTTATCTGATGGTAAAAGATGCTGTGGTCCATAGACATCTACATTTATTCTCCATCAAAAATGCAGAAGCGTTCTCACCCTTAATGACTAAGATGGGATGCCCCATTTCCAGTAAAATTAATTTTCGGCCCACTACACTTACAACAGAAAATACAGCAGTATTAAGCTTCTACATTAGGCTAGTATTCTGTGAGAGCGTGGTCCTAGCTTGGTGCTACGCGACCTATTCGTGCTACAACCATAATATAGCTATAACATGGCTCTACCACGAGTAAGATGTGTCGTAAGAGGCGGCAAAAGAAAACGTAAACAGGAGATGGGTAGCAGCATATTCCTCAATTCAAAATAATGAAAAGCCGCGGTTGCAAACCAGCCTGGCTAGCATCGCCTGGTGGCCTATATGTAGCAGAAGACAAGCGATATACCCGTTTAAGTCCACAGCTGGATATGTTATTCTCCTATTGTAGGAAGGGTCATACTTCGCCTTCCAAGCATTTAGGAAATAAGAGGTTTATTTATAGAAAATAACTGTTGGTACAAACTACTAACTACTTCAAGGTAATTAAAAAATGGGATTACTTATATTTACGCGAATATTAAACATAACTACATTTTATAGATTTAATCGTATTTGTTTTTACACTTTGGCCACGGAAGAAAGAATTTGTTTTTATACCAAATTTCAATAAGAAATTAAAAATAAAACTTATTCCACAATAATACAAAATTAAGTCTTATTGGATAAATAAAAAAAAAAATAAAAAATACTGTTAAATAAATTAGAAGCATACATAACTTACTGTTAAGCAAAATGTAAAAAGGAATTCTGAGGATTAAAATGAAATGCCTTACAGTTTATAATTATACTCGCACTCTAACCATTCAAACCAAAACACGGCAGTACACTGCTGGTTGCTTGCAGAAATAGGCAAGAGCGTGGTACCAACCTATACGTGTTAGAAACACGCAGAAAATCAGATAAAAAGCCTTTTTTTATAGGATAGTGTGAGCGCGGTATTTTACGCTGGTATTCTGTGGGAGCGTGGTTCTTCACCGGTCGAGCAGACTCATTTGTGCTACAACTATACTAATAATATAACTGCAGCATGGCTCAACCACGTACAGCCTTAGTAGCAAAGTTAAATTTGCCTACAGATACAATTAACTAAAGAAACAACATGACAAAAGATTAAGATCCATTGGTTCTATTGGTTGGATATAAATCTAGGCAACAAGCAGAAGTAAAATAATATTAAAAAGATACGATTTTTTAATATTATCGATTACAGTACCGGCGATCAACATCGTTTAATAAAAAATTAATACAAATATCGTTACAAATAAAGTATATAATAATTTCTTATATTTATGCGAACACTACACATTGATTAAAACTCCTTTTACGGATTTTATCATATGTAATTTATTTGGTTTTTAATTCCCGACGTTTCTCGTGCATCGGGTACAGGAAAACACCCGAAACGTTGTGAATAATATAAATTAAATAAATAAAAACGATAGAATCCGTAAAAGTAGTTTTAATCAAAATAAATTATACTTAGTCCTGTAACCCAGTTTTCAATTTTACTAGCATTTTCACTTTCTTGGAAGCCTTACTTCACTACTTTTTGCTTTATCGTTATAAATAAAATAAAATGAGTAACTCTAACAGTTTACTACTGTGATAAAGAATCCTAAGAATATTAGAGAATGACATAAACACAATAAAGAACTCAAAATTTTAAGTTATTAATCAAGATGTGAACTTGGTTTGTGAAATACGTTGGTGTGAATATGGATGACAACAACACAATTTTAATTCCATTGCAAACTTCAAAAATTTAGAATAATTAAATTCAAAGTTCAAGATAGAAATATTAACAATTTTGTGCACAATATTTCTAATAAAATACGAGTACAGGCGGAATTATGTAAGTGGAGCCACAAAGTAAAAGAAAACTAAGCGCAAATTATTTTATGGGTGTATAGTATTAATAAACGACAGTATAACAGAATAATTATTTATTTTTGCTACAACATATACATTTTAACATTATTAGTAATAACCATAATAATTCATAATATTGATTTCATTATTTAATAGTCAGATACATGCGAAGTTTCACTGTTATCTAATCTACTTTTATTTGATACATAGGGTTCCACAATCCAATGTTCCTGAAATCAATAAGAAAAATAAATTATAATGTGCCAGTATCTTATATATTAAAGTGTATACTGAGATATCGTTGAAGTGAATCATCAGGTCAGCAAACATACATACAATTATTTGTGATATCTTTTTATTAAATAAGGGTGACAAGCGAGCACACAGTCCACCCGATAGTAAGTCGGTGATAGGCCCATAGACATTTACATCTATACTTGATTAAAATCAAAACGCAGAAGCGTTGTCATTGTCACCCCTCAGTTCACTCATCTAACGAAACACAGCGTTATTGCGCTGTTTCACGCTGGTATTGCGTGAGAGCGTGGTCCTAACTCCAAACCCGGTCCGAGCCGACCCATTCGTGCTACAGCCATAATATACATAGCCGCAGCATGGCTCTATCACGTAAATAATTTATAGTTATTACTATAAAAGAATAAATTTATATCACTTATATATAATTTCAATGACTTTTTTCCGTCTATTATTTTATAAGGATAAAATACATTTTCAAAGTATAGTCTGCAATGAGTAAAAAGATAATTACCTTGTTTTCATTTTATTTCCATCGTCTGTATGTACTTGCAGGAATATGCCACAAATATATATAACCTGCACGATGTAGAACAAAAGTTGCCAATTAAAGTTGTCCACTTGATCTTTAGATTCCTGTTTGTTGCTATAATTCATAGCAATGTACTTTTGATTTCTATTGAGTTCTAAAATAAAAGGAGCTAACTGACGATCTACGTTGTTTTGACGGAAGTTTCTTTGTGGTTCCTGCCTTTCGTTATTCTGACGAGATACATACATGCCAGAAAAAGACATTCGATGATCAGTTTTATGCATTTCGTGTCGGTTATTATTAACTTCAGTAGTAGAACGAGATACATAACGTTCAAGTCTTCGTCTATTCTCAGAGCGTTCTGTTGCAGAATAAAGTTTACGTTCGATGTTGGGAATAGTGTTTGCGCGTTTAGAAGTAAAATGAGTAGCTTCAACGTAGCGTCGATTATCTTGATTCGTTGTAGCAGAAATAAAACGTAGGCGTCCTTCATTGGGTTGTAGTTCTCGTCGTTCTGATGCATTAGAAAATTTACGTACAATGCTTTGGTGAATATCTGAGCGTTCATTTGAGGAACTGGTGAGTTTAACGCTGCGTCGATTATTTTGATGCGTTGTAGTAAAACGAGAATATTGTCGTTCCATACTCCGACGGTTTTCAGAACGATCAGTTTGAGAGATTTCACGTTTAATAATTGGTCTCCTACTATCTGCTGATTCAGTAATGGAACGAGCGAAATCAACATTTCTTCGGTTATCCTGTCGAGATGTAGCAAATCGAGTATTCTCACGCCGCCTGCTGCGTCGGTTTTCGTTACGTTCTGTACTGATAAGATTGAGTTCACGTTCAATGCTGCGTCTAATGTCTGGGCGATTATTAGAACTAATTAGTCCAATGGTACATTGATTATCTTGTTGCGTTGCAGAGTGAGAATTACGACGTTGTATGCAACGATGATTATCAACACGGTCTACGGCGATATGAGTGCTTTCATGTCCAACACTGCAGCTCCTAGTGTCTGCGATTTCAGTAGTTGATCGAACGATTGCCTCTGCGGATTTTGCAGCGTAACGAGAATTGTAGCGTTCGGTATTCCGTCGGTTTTGGATATTTTCAATGAAGCGAGTAGTGCTGCTTCCATGTGTGCATCTATTATCTTGTGTATTAACATGACCAGAATTTAGACGTGCCATATTACGTCGAGTTTCAGTCCTTTCTGCGACGTTATGCGGGAGTACACGTTGAGTGTTATGTCGAATGGAAATTTGTTTAACAATAGAACGAGCTACATCGACGCTGCGTCGATTACCTTTGTGGGTAACATAACGAGAATCTTGTAGACCAATACTGCGTCGGTTTTCGATATCTTCTGAAGAGCTACGTTCAATAACACGAGTAATATCTGCCATTTTTACAGTGGAATGACTTAATCTTGATTCCTTCCTACGTTGATCATTTTGGCGTGCAGAAGAACGAGTATTATGAAGATTAGTACCGCGTCGGTTTTCGATATGTTTTATGAGGCTCCGTTCAATATTGCGAGTGATGTCCACCCTTTCAGTAGCAGACTGGGTTCCTTCGCTGCTGCGTCGATCTCCTTGACGTGTTTCAGCAAAACGAGAGTCGTGGAGTTCGGTTCTACGTCGGATTTCTTTATGTCCTGTGTTGAGATTGATTTTACCTTCAATGCTGCGTTGATTGCCTTGTCGCGATGCAACAAAACGAGTACGTGGTCGTTCTATGTCGTGACGGTTTTCAGAGCGATCAAAAGCGGTCTGAGAGATTGTATGATCAATACTACTTCTTCTAGTGTTTACGAAATCCGTAGTTGTAACAGTAAGATCAATATTTCGTCGATTAACTTGGCGCGTTGCTGGAGAACGAGAATTTGCTGCCATATTGCGTCGGGTCTCGGCACGTTCTGTAGCGAAATCAGAGGGTTTACGTTCAGTGCGATGAATGTCGATTCGTTCGAGAGAAGTAGAGAGTTGGCGATCAGTTCTGCGTGGAGGTTCTTGTCGCTGAGTACCAAAACGAGAATAGCGGCGATCAGTATTGTATAGAATATCGCCGCGTTCTGAGGATGCAAGTAGGATTTGCTGTTGATTACTTTCTCGTGCATCGGAACGTGTAAGTCGACGTTTATCATTGGCGCGATTGGTATCACGATTACTATTAAATAAACCTTCAACATTTTCAGTTGGACGTTGAGAAAGAACCGAGCCGGCATCAATGCTTTTAGTAGTGCGAGAGAATTGGCGCTCTGTATTGGGTAGGTAGTTATTCCTTTCGGTGTTTGATTCCGTTGATTTACGTTCAGTGTTAAGTCTAGTCGTACGTAGTTCTGCTGAGAGCCTTGAATCTCGGCGGTCGGTCGATAAGCGGAAGAGTTGGCGTCCAAACCGTGCGACAAAGCGGCTATGTATTTGTTCAAAATCGAGGTTGGATTTTTGAATTTCTGTAGAAACTTGTGTGACGTCTCGTTTTGTCCGGGTATCTCTGCGTCCTATGGAGTTAGAAAGTTGAGGTTCGATACAACGTCTAGCATCTTTTTTTAGGGTAGCCGCCAATCGACGGTTAAAACGTAGCATCTCTTGTCTTTCAACTTGAGTATGATAGGGTACACGCTCAGTATTATCTATATACGAATGGGAGCGACGGTTGTCAATTCTTTCCATAATGGAACGTTTTAATGTTGAGCACGAAAGTTGCCGCTCAGTATTTACCCTTAATTTGTAATTTTCTGTGCTAGATCGCGAGTGACTTAAACCAACTGCAAATTCGTGACGTTCTTGGAGAGTACGAGAAAGATTTTCAAACTTACTAGGTCTTGTAGAGGAAGGGGATAATTGTTGCGTAATATGTCTAAAAGTATTAACGCGTTCGGTAGCAGCTCGAGAAACTCGGCGATCACCGTCAAATTTTATTCGACTAAGTTCAGACTTAAGGTGAGAAGGTTGACGATCGACTTCAATATCAGGGTATTGAGTGTTCGTAAAAGAACGGAAGAGTTGGTGTTCAGATCGTACAACAGTGCCATATTGGCCACGTACCTTGTTTAGTTTTTTGACTCGAGTAGAGGCACGTTCAGTTTTATGTTTCGCGATGTTGTCCATAGAATGAGCAGCTATTGGATATCTTTCATTTAGTCTACGACTAACATCGGCTCTTGTAACTTGGTCGAACATCAACTCGGTAACTTGTGAGCGGTCGACGTAATTTTGTCGCTTTGTCATTATCCTGGAATTATGACGGATCAAAGTCTGGTGCGCATTATCCGCCCTTTCAAATCGTGTCAACCTTTGTTCAGAGTCATCTTTAAGTCGCCTATCGCTATTGTCTTCTCTAACCGAAGCTCTTGCTAAATTCCTATCGCGAATATTATTTCTTGCTCTATTATAATTTGCGCGACTATAATTGTCAACATCTAAATACCTTGATCGACGGTCTTCATTTGCATTGCGTTGTAATGTAGATTCTATTCGAGACTTAACGAAACGTTGTTCATCATTTTCTTTTTCTCTTATCACGATACGCTTATCCAAATTTTTATTTGAATCTTCCCGTGCACGTGTCAAATAGCGTGATTCTCTTTTGCTGTTGGCGTCTCGAAGATCCACGAAATTTTCACGAATTCTGGATTCAATCGAAGCTGGGGAATATCGGTCATTGTGAAATCGTTGCACCAGATAATTGTCTACAACCAGTCTTCTATTAAAGGTTTGGCTGTTGTAAGCATCGTTGTTTTTAATCGAATCCTTGCGAACAGTTTCACGACTTATAAAACGTTCTTCGAATAAATTCCTGGCATCTTTTTCTCGAAGGTGTACGTTCTCCCCTTTTTCAGTCGATCGGAAATTAGTGTTCTTGGTATCTATTCGCCTTGATACACTGATATTAGGGGCGCGGTTTAAATTCCTACTGTCGCTTGACGGTTTGTCGCTATAACTTCCATATAGAGAAAGCCTGGTGTCAGAGAAATCCTGGTGGTAACGATCGCAACACTGTCTCCCATCAAAGCGGTCAGATGTAATCGGCTGTGAGAGCCCTAAAAACGCGAGCAGTAGCAAATACCAGTAATACATAACTGCACTCTTAGTGAAATATGTTGTTTCACCGTTGGAGGCTGGATCTGTACTGACTGAGAAGCAGAAAAGCGACGCCTTTTATACTACTAAGAAGCTTCATTCGATTTATTTTCTATTTAACGGTAGAACGCGTTCAATTTTCAACATCCCACACAAGGGTGTTATTGATGCGCCTTTAATAGAATGTTGTGTGGATTTCGAAATGTATAAGTGAAAAATATTACTAACTTGATCCAAACGTAAAAGAATGCAATTATATGCATATTTTAAAATAGTTATTTTTTACATTTATACAATCCCAAAAATAGAAAGCACGTGCATTGTTAGCGGTGAAGATAAAGTTTATATGCCTCACAAACTGTAATAAAACCGTGTCTGTTAACTTTTGAACCAAATCACAGCCGTTGTTACACTACCTCTTAATGACAAAAATAGGTAAAGTCGCACCTACCCATAGAAACTCTTGTGTAGGAGAGGAGGTATAATACACCTGTTTAAAAATTACAGAAAACGTTCTAAAACATGGTGTATAGAATAGAAGCTCCGACATCAGAAGCTATAATGTGGAAATTATTTTATTCTGTTTATTTCTTCTTTTGGTTTTTTCACTCTTTGGTGTGGAATAAGTAATATCACAAGCTCAAGGTAACAACTATAATGTCATCTAAATTATCCGTGGGACTAGAATTGTTCTCTGAATTTTTATGAAAACACCCTTAGGCATACCTACTTATTATATGTATATTTTTTCCTAAATTTATTGAGGAAATATTTAGTAAAAGGCAAAAAGATAATAATAGGCAAAACGATAGTTCGTTATCAATCGACAAAGAAACCACGCAAACAGTTTCTTTATCAGCACCTAACAATTCGGCGCGAGATCACAAGTGTCCTACAGTTAAAACGTTTAGTATATCGGCTGCGGTGCGCAGTATGTCTTCGTTCAACGGCCATTATGCGTGAGGAAAAGGATTGAAAAGAGACAGGCTAGGTGAGTGGAAGAAGTATGCTAACATCCGTAAGCAAAATATTGAAAAGGGTTAGGTTTGTACCATTAAACATAAAACATAAAATATAAAACAATACATAAATGAAATCGATTCAATTTTGCGAAATATATAGCATAATATACAAACCAAATTTAAAAAACTTAAGATAAAGCAAAGTACCAAATACGCTCAGGCGACAATTTGTTTTATCATCGGGACGCAGCTGCACAGTCCTCGGTGCGTTAAATAAATCTGATGAAATTCACTGGAGCGATAGATTGGCCACTATACATTGTACACGCGTGACGTCAATGCGACATTTCAAAATCTATCGAGAATTTTCCTTTTCCATACCCCACATTTTAATTCAATCAAGCTAATCTTGAAAGACAGAAACGTTGCATGAATAGACGATTGGCGTCTGATATTATAGGTTCTCTCTATAGGTCCCATAACGGTAATGCCGACACAGACCGATTCATCGACCACTCCAGATGGCTGCAGACTCTGTGTTACAACATGTCCCATCCGCAGAGATCGTGATGCTCGGTGATTTTAACGCCTACTACGCTGAATAGCTTGGTTCTCGTTTAACCGATTATGCGGGTAGATCTGTTTATGACTTTGCTTTAGCATATGGTCTAACTCAACTGGTTACCTCGCCTACGCGATCCCAGATGTGTAGGATCATGTAGCTTCCTTGTTGAACCTTCTGCTGACCTCACATCCGGACGGATATCAAGTCTTCGTCGATGCCCCTCTTGGCTCCTCGTACCATTGTCTGATCCGGAGTACGCTGCCACTCACGCTCCATGCTTGCGCTGTAAGTTGCCGCCGTGTTTGGCATTATATTGCAGCCGATTGGGACGGAATGCGTGTTTTTTTTTGCATCCTACCCCTGGGGGTGGGTTTGCTTCTCGCCGGATGATCCCGACGTTGTTGCTGATTCTGTCGCTAATGTGGTGCTACAGGGAATGGAACTTTTTATTCCATCATCTGTGGTGTTATAGGGCAGCCGATTGGGACGGAATCCGTGTTTTTTTGCATCCTACCCTTGGAGGCGGGTTTTTTTCTCGCTGGATGATCCCAGTGTTGTTGCTGATTCTGTCGCTGATGTGGTGCTACAGCGAATGGAACTTTTTATTCAATCATCTGTGGTACCTATTGGAGGCAGAACCCAGCCTTGGTTTGGTCGCTCCTGCAAAGTAGCATTACGTCATAAGCAAGAGTGCTACCAGGCATGGGCTCGCGCATCGACGTCTCGGGATGCAAATACCAGCGCTCTTAAAAATAAATATAATTCTGCCTCCAGGTCCTTCAAAAGTGTCATTGTCAAGGCAAAGTCCGAGCACATCGGCAGATTTGGCGAGTAACTAGTTCGTCTTTCTTCGGGAACACGTGCATTCTGGTCTCTCGCCAAGGCTGTCTAAAGGATCTTCTGTCAGCCATGTCTCCCATCCCTGCACAGGGAGGACAACTCACTGGCCCATGACGCAAAGGACAAAGCTGATCTGCTGAGCTCTCTCTTTGCGTCCAACTCGACTCTTTATGACGGGAGGAACACACCGCCGACCATCCCGCGGTGTGAGTGTTCCATGCAGAATGAACTGTTTACACAACGCTCGGTGCGCAGAGCAGTCCTCTCCCTGGACGTCAACAAGTCGAGTGGGCCTGATGGCTTCCCTCCTATTTTGCTGAAAACGTGTGCTCCGGAGTTGGCACCGGTTTAAACGCGTCTTTTCCGGTACCCCTACTCTCTAGGCGTAGTCCGGAAATCATGAAAGACAGCCTTGGTGCACCCGATCCCTAAAAAGGTTACCGTACTGATCCGTCCAACTATAGGCCTATCGTCATCACCTCCTTGTTCTCTAAAACAATGGAATCAATTATTAACAGCCAGCTCATGCGGTACCTTGAGGATCACCAGCTGATTAGTGACTGCCAGTACGGTTTCCGTCGCGGTCGCTCGGCTGGTGATCTTCTGGGCTACCTAACTCATAAATGGGCGGAGGCTGTAGAGTCCAAGGGGGAGGCGTTGGCCATTAGTTTGGATATAGCGAAGGCCTTCGATCGGGTTTGTAACAAAGCGGTTCTTACGAAGCTTCCTTCCTATGCCCTATTATTCCCAAGAAATTGTGCAATTGGATCACCAATTTTCTTGCTGATCGGAGAATCAAGGTCGTAGTAGACGGTGCATGCTCCGATTACAAGCCCATTAACGCTGGTGTTCCACGACGCTGCGTGCTATCACCAACGCTGTTTCTTCTGCATATCAATAATGACATGTTGCGAACCGGTAACTTTCATAGCACTAGTGATACTCTATACACCGGCTATGCCAATATTTCTTTATTTATTTATTTATTTCAGAGACATGGTACAATAACCGGTATTAGCGTAGAAACAGCACGATTATCAATTACCAATTCTTAGTTTTTTACTATGTCAGCAACAAGATGTCAATATAACAATATTATGTCAATCTAAGAACAATAATTACAGCACATAATAAATTGTTAAATGTAACTTAATACTAAGACTTCAATTATTCCTAATAGTAATTGCATACATTAGGAATTAGTAAAACATTGACATTTTTATGACTAACAGGCGTTTTTTAAAATAAATTATATTTCCATCTCTATCGTAACTTGTTCAAAGCAAAGTTATTCACAATTCATAGATTTAGGAAAAAAAACTTAATTGAATCAATATACATATAGTGTCACTTTCTTACCTACTATATTTTATATGTCAGAAAATCTTTTACTGAGTAAACACAACGGTCAAGAACCCATTGAGTTAAAGTTCTTTTAAATTTATTCATATTTAATAGTTTTATATCAGTTTTAGACTTTGTTGAACAAAGTCTCGGACTGGGGGTCACTAAATCTAGTCCAGTTTAATCCCTAAAAGACACAAGTTTGCGCGTTTACCGCTAAAACGAACCCCTTCGTCGTATTTTCTCTCGAGGGATTGCATATATTATCGTATCTGCGTAGTGTGTGACTCGCTTAACTTTAGAATGCGCTCCCCGTCGCATTTCTCAGAAGTTGTGTTGCACGTGCCGCTTTACGGCATTGCCGATTACTGCGACTCTCACTGTTTTATATGCGCCTAGTCCTTGATCAAAACTACATGACCTTTATTTACTTTCAAAAATAATATATTTTTTAAATAAACACTATAAATGCACACGTTTTAACGCTCTTGCGGTCCAGAGAGGAAGGGAGTGAGTATTTTTGTTTTCGGCGCACGCCGAAAACGGAGAGAATAAGCTGAAAGTATTTTCAGATTGAGTTCGATTTCATAGCCTTTCTTCAATAGGATATGCCTAAGTTCATTATGATTTGTAAATATAGAAGCATATATAGACATTTTTAGAAGTCTAACTCATATGGAGTGCGGAAGGTTTGGTAGCTTTTTAAGGGGGGCGTATGCACGCTCGCTCTGTTGAATACTTCAAATGAAAAATCCATCTTATATGAAACTAGTACGTTAGTTAATGTCACGGTACATATGCATTAAGCTCCTGTCCGCGTTGACGTACAACCACGTTCCGTCTCCATCCCGTGCACGTGCACGTGATTCCGTGCTGCATGCAGCGACCTTTAGATGGAATGCCTCATAGCTTGTATTCATACTGGTTCTCTAGTCTCCAAGCTGAAGTGACGGCGCTATCATTTGGCGGCATAGACTACATAGACTGACTCTTAGGCAGACGACGAGTCCTACCACCTGACACCGTGTAGTAGCAGTATCATAATATCCACTACCCCATGTCGTAAGAGGCGACAGAGGGGAAAAATAAAACAGAACATCCTAGACGTGATGGGCAATCGGAATTCACTTTTTGATTATTGTTCCCCCTTTCCACCCCAAGTACTGAAATATTCAACAGAAAATATTTTGATACCTTTTTAACATATTATTGTTTATTGATGAATTTTTAATAAACATAAACTTAAACAAAAATCATATTACGTATTGTATTTAAACCAAATTAAACTCCCTTGTTTTAAATAATAATAAGTAATTTATAAATTTTGCAATATGTCCAGGAAATGACCAACACTAATTTCATTATATAATAATTATATATCCTGCATAAGTTCGTCTCTCAATAAGACATTTTAAATTTTTTTAGGTACAGTACTATTTCCAATACTATTTATATAATCAATATTTCAATAAAATATAATTGAAACTCATTGAAGTAAAACATTTCTTACATCCATAGACTTATTATACTACTGCGTATGGAACGGGTCATTGGTCAAACAAAATGGCACTGACCGGTGCTAAAATGATTATGTAGCATCAACGCGAGCTCATATGCGTGCCGTGCGTCCGTACAGTGTTTCTACTTTTAGATATTTTGCACTATTTTATGGCAAATCTTCTAATATAGGTAGGGCTTTAGGCGTTTCTTCAAGTTGACAGGGTTTTGGATAATTTGGGATGAAATCGAACTTGAGGTAACCCTGTTTTCTAAACCCACCTAATGTAATTTTTTTTAAAGATTTATCGAAGGGGATAGGGATAGGGTCAAAAGAGCTAGAAAAGTGTAGAATGAAAAAGGTTTTCATTTTATATATGGGAATAATGGTATAATATTTTACTTAGTTACAAATTCATTATTCTTATGACACTAAGTGTTATTATAATTTAAAAATGAGAACGTCTTCTTCATCACAAAACTTAAGTTTTAATTTTTTTGTTCTAAAGTTCCTATAAAAAATATATCGTGAAATGACATTCAAAACTTACAATGATGTTGTTATTTAAAATATTCAAAATTAGGTGAAAATAAGGATATCAAGATTTTCTTAGGGAGTATTTCTATAGGTTCTAGGATAAAACCAAAATCATAAGTGAAAACACTGGTTCCGTGGTAGTTAGTTCATGAGTATTTAAGAAATGGCGCTGATTTATTCTATGACGCACGACCATATCTTGTCATTTATATCGATGCTTTCATCATAAGATATCTCCAAAATGACGTAAATTATGTCATATCGAATGATATGTAATAAAACAATAAAAAGTATTTCTGTTTTGACCTTTAAACAACAAGTATGTATGTTTTTTATAAGTATGTAATCTTGGGCCAGTTTCTATTATGTTTTTATAAACGACTGTACTCGCACACAGCCGCGGGGAAGAGAAAATCGGAAGAAAATTAATATACGAATTCCAATTATCCACCCCAAACGGGGTGGATAAACGAACACGCGATTCCGAGTATCCACCCTAGGGTGAATTTCTTAGGGTGGATAAACGGAATAACCCTCGCCAACCCCCTTGCCAAGCGTGGCATCTACGGCAAAAATCACCTGGGAGGGAGGCCATTTCAGAAGTGGACCTTTATAGGCTGTGATGAATGGATGGATGGTGTGTGATGATGCTAGGTGTGTGAGACTGACTATACTAGATAGACAACCATTATATTAAACATATTTACACATTTAAAGGGAGAGGGCCACGAAAGTTCATGTTTGTATGAACATGAACTTTTAGGAGCTGGTGACGAAGAACAAGAAGAAAGTAGGTATACATACCTGTCGGCGCCTATCAGTGCAGAATTCCGCTATGCCTTGCAACAAAGGCTTCCACGCCACTTCCCACAGGTCGTAATCTTCAGTCCCTATAGGTGAAATCGATTAGTAACGAGTCCATATATTTTTTGTTGTATGGTGAGTGTAGAGAACCGGAGACCCTTTTTACTGGAAACGAGGCATTCCATCTCAGTCCTCACGGGTGACAACGCATCTGCATTTTGATTCGTAATCGAGGATAGATGTAGATGTCTATGGGCCACAGCAACCACTTACCATCATGTGGACTGTGCGCTCGTTTGCCACCCTTACTTTAATAACGAAATGTAGAGGCTATTGGTGCGTAGGGACCACTAAAGAAAATTATTCGGTGAATAGCCACCGCTGGTGGTAACAAGAAGGTTGGTTCTTTTCTTGTCATAAGATTTTTCTAGAATTTTCCATAGTTGTCTGTTACGACACAAACAATACGAAATAGGGTAAAGGATTAATAATAATAATTAGATGTCTGTACAAATGTTAGCTGTGACAGAGATATGGCGTAATATTCAGAGAATCTAACCACTTGGTTAGGCTGCAGGTATATTATGGTTGTAGCACGAATAGGTCGGCTCGACCGGGTTAGGACGACGCTGTCATAGAATACCAGCGTAAAATAACAACTTATTGTTGCTGTATTTCTTATGGTGAGTGTAGGGAACCGGAGATCATTTATACTGGAAACGAGCCACGCATGTATTGATTCGTAATCGAAGATAAATGTAGATGTTTATGGGCTACAGCAATCACTTACCTACAGGTGGATAAAAAGGCCACTCGGTCATTTAATGTAGTATTTTATAGCATAATAATAATAAAAATGATTTTTCTTTGGCTTTTGCCTTTCTCGAATAATTTATCTTTATCCTTAACACATTATCCGTATAGTGGAAGTGTATAGAACCAATCACTCCATTTCTTGCCGTGGGTATCGCAAAAAGCGACTATAGGCTATATGGCTATAAGGCTTATGTAAGAGAAAGAAATCGTAGAGTCAACCAGCCATTTTGAGTGGTAAGAGTAACTGTAGGATCTATGAGTGCCACTACTACATAGAAGTAAAAGTGAAAGAATGACTTTCAATTGTTTTCTTTACATTTATTTGGATTTTTTAATATATTACCACGTCTTTATTAACTCATTTACTTATTTGTCTGTCTGTCTGTCGTTGCAGATGGAATTTAGTAATTGATTTTAAGCTAACTTACCGATGAGCTGGAAACTTGAAATTTTGATTATAGCTCAAATTCGGATGACAATGCAAAAATATTATTGTAAGTGATAGAATCAGGCGTTACTTTGCGGAAATTCATTATAATAAAGATATTAAAATTTAATTCGGAACCATCCGCTTAATTAAATACAATGATGTGTCTTACCTGGATTGAAAAGCACTACACACAATAGTGGTGTTGGGAGTAGTGGTGTTGGGACTAGTGGTGACGGAGTTAGTGCACGCAATTGAGGGAGCGCGGGAGGTGCTCTTCAACACATCATGGTATTTAATTACGCGGATGGTTGCGAATTAAATTTTAATATCTTTATTAGAATATTATTAAAAAACGTGGTAAAAATAACTTGCTATAATATTGTCATGTTCCGTAATAGCAGTAAATGAGAGCGGTAACCTGACTGCATGTGAACATATGTAAAATAATGAGTGCGTGTAACCTTTACGGGTGGTTAATGTAAAACTTATTAATATAAATGGATATTATTACATATTTGAGTTATTTTCAACCGCGCATCAAGATATACTTCAAAAACAAAATTACCTTGTCCGTGGTCGGCTTCGTCGCGCCACCATTTAAATATCTGAGCGGTGCGGCTGTGCAGCGTGTGCATCAGGTCGAGCAGCTAAAACAAATATTTATTTTAATAATTTACCGTTACAGCCTATTAGTCGACTGCTGAACATAGGCCTCCACATAAATTGCCTCATAGGACTCATTTGCCATAGTTACCACGCTAGCAGGCGGCAAGCGGGTTGCAACCGCAGTTTTATTTTATCCATAGGCCATTTGGGCCCGTACCCTCGGTTGCTCGTCGAGTTGGGCTACTGATGGGCCCTAGTCCAGTCGACTTCTGTCGGGGCAACTGAGGGCCGTAACAGTCGTTATTAGGAAGACACTGCTGCCCGTATTCAATTTGTTTCCCTATGTCGCCTCATACGACACCCAAGGGATAATATGGGGTAGTCGGATATTCTTACACCGCCACTGCACGGTAACAACTTACATTATTTTAATTTCAAATACCTTGTATTAAAGTTACAGTCTATAAAGGTCTCACAGCTGGGCACCGGCCTTCTCTCATTTCTGAGATGGTTTTAGGGCAAGGAAATGTCTGCCGCGCTGCCGATGCGTTTTGGCGAACTTCACATGTCTTTAAAATATTTTTATCTCAGACAGCAGGTTTCCTCAGAGTGTTTTTCTTCACCGCCGAGCACGTGGTAAATCAACACTTAAAACCGCAATTAACAATTTCATTGGTGCCGGCGGGGATCGAACTCAGGTTGCTCGCATACTATGAAATTTACAGCTAGCGCTTAGCCCCTGAGCTACCACGGCTCTTACGTGGCGGAGGGATTTCATCACCCAATTTCGTTTCGTGTTTGTCGTAAGAGATCACTATGGGAAACACCAGAAAAAACTTGACTTTCGAAAGATGACAGTGCAACATCTCGTTTACGTCAGACGTGAATTTCCAGACCGGCTACAAGCAGCAACGTCAAAGGCACAACACATCTGATACTGCGATCGAAAAGCCCAAGTTCGACGATTAAGGCAAATTCTCCTTACAACGGCCCCATAATCAAGAAGTAGATATCTTAGTAGTATAATATCAGATATCTTAGTAGTATAATAGCAGATATGTTAGTAGTATAATAGCAGATATCTTAGTAGTATAATAGCAGATATCTTAGTAGTATAATAGCAGATATCTTAGTAGTATAATAGCAGATATCTTAGTAGTATAATAGCAGATATCTTAGTAGTATAATAGCAGATATCTTAGTAGTATAATAGCAGATATCTTAGTAGTATAATAGCAGATATCTTAGTAGTATAATAGCAGATATCTTAGTAGTATAATAGCGGTTATCTTAGTAGTATAATAGCGGATATCTTAGTTGTATAATAGCAGATATCTTAGTAGTATAATAGCAGATATCTTAGTAGTATAATAGCAGATATCTTAGTATTATAATAGCAGATATCTTAGTAGTATAATAGCAGATATCTTTAGATTAGATATGACAAAGTCGATATTAAAAAGAAGCAATAATAGTCTGTAAGAAACGCAAAGCCTTATGCATCGATCGATATAATACACCTTGTACGATTCGACCGTACATAGCGTATATTTTCTAAACGTAGAGCCATGCTGCAGGTGTATTTTAGTTGTAGCACGAATGGGTTCGACCGGGGAAGGACCACGCTCCCACAGATTATCAGGGTAAAATAGCAGCTTAATGCTGCTGTGTTTCGTATGGTGAATGTAGAGAACTGGAGACCCCTTTTTCTAGAATCGGGGCATTCCATCTGAGAACTCACGGGTGACAATGCATCTGCATTTTGATTCCTTATTGAGGATAGATGTCTATGTGCCACTGCATCCACTTACCGTCAGGTGGACTAAGTGCTTGTTTATCACCCTTGTTGTATAAGAAAAGCACAATTAGTATTTGTACGTAGTTTTTATTCCTTAGAAATTTTCTTTAGCGTCACGTCAAGCGATGTGGGCGGCGTTTGTGTAATAGTAATCGCTAATTTAGCATAGTGAGTGCAAGTGGCAAAGTAATGAAGCACTGGCATATATTACGTAAAGAAATACAATTGGACGATCTTATTCCTAATTTTTATTTATCTGATTTATGTATTATCATCTCAAGTGTACGAATCGTAAAATTCATAAATAAACATGGCAGCGCAGTCGTTAATTATTTAACGCCTCTACTTTGGGAAGTGAGTTAGAAAACCCGCACGTTAAAACTATCTGTATGGCATACTAGTATAATTTTTTTCTTTAGACGGTGTCAGCTGGTTGGTCTGTCCGGCTTTTCGATTTTATGACTTGACAACCTTAATTGCACACAAAACAACAGCAAACTAGTAAAGTAGCATTTAAAGTATATGTAGAATAGGCGGTCATATCACTGAAGATGATATCTTCCAGAAAACTGTTACGTAGAGGACTGTTGCAAACAATATGATATATTTATGTATGAAATAATTCTCCAAGGTACAATAATAGTTCTTGTGTACGTAAATATGCAAATATGTAATGCAATGCAATGCAAGATTAAATGCTGTTAAGGAGTACCACTCAAATACTGAGATTGTAGGATGCAAAATAAAACACTGTTAACTGTAACGCCTTGCGAATGGTACTGAATTTATTATAAAAGAAAACATAATATGTACAATGCATTAAAATGACGTCAAACACGAGCTCGCGCTCCAATTACGCTAACATATAAAAATGTACGGGTTTACTCGTACATATTGCCAAACCTAAAACAAAAGAAAGAGAATAAAATCTGTAAAGTATATAAAATACGAAAATATTATTCGTCTATTTTACATTCGAACTTGATAATCTTGTCAAACATTGTGGATGTAGTCTTATCCTGTGTACGCGGACCGCTGAGTACACGGCGCTCGATCGGCAGCGGTGGCGGGCTGCCAGGCGCGGGGGCCGCGGGAGTCGCGTCGGCTGGCCTCGCCGTGGGGATATAATATAATTTTCTTCTATACATGTAGATAACTGCCGTTACTATTACTGCGATTACTATGAAGTACAGTATATATATCATAACATAGTGGTGTATGTCTTCATTTGACATCCCTTCATCAGATTGATTCAGCAAGTCTTGTATTTGCCCCTTGATTTTCCAAAATGTACTATTGTGATTTTCAGCGACGAATGGCAGCTGATTAATCGATGTGTTAATGACAGAGTTCAATATGGACTCTTCAGCCATACTCCCGATGTCAAAACTTCCTGTATATATTTCACTCCTGTAGTCACGATGACCTTGTATAGAAAATGTGTCTCCTTTAAGAATGCAATCTTGACCTATACTGATAAGGCCGCTGCCGCGCAGACTTCTCGTCGCCAGCCCGGACGGGCATAATATGCGGATCTTGCATTCTTCGCAGCATGTGTACAGCCAGGAGTCACGAGAGTGTAATTTAATCCATCTGTCGGGGCACTCCTTTGTTTCTCTACGACAATATGTTTGATTGCTGTCGTCCGTGATCATTTTTACGTCACATATAGACTGACCCACTTTAAGTTCGTATAAGGGACTAGTAATGGGGCATAGTAGGTTGACGTCGTTGTATCTGATGCAGAGCGGTAAATCATTTTCCATCACCGACATAAAGGTATCTTTTCGTAAATTGAATGCTATGTAGTCGGTAGAAGGTATGACGTAGATAGAGTTCAAATTTCTTGTTTGCGGTATAGGTATGATGACTCTATTAAGTTCATAAGTGTCAGTACTCAGTAGTGGCACCTTCACTTCAATTATGACGTAATCTTCGGTTATTCTTGCCTTTACTTGTAGCATTTTGAATAATTCCTTAATATTTTGCACGTTGACGGGGACTAAAAACTCTCCTTGAACATGTCTCGATATGACGTTTAACTGTTCTTGCAATTGTGCCGGAGAAAGCAAGTGTCCGTCGAGTCTACCGTGATATATGTTCGTTACAGTATTAATTAGGGTGTCCTGTATTCTTCTTAAATTTGATAAAATGACGTCAAGCGTAACAACATGCGTAGTAAAATAAAATATGTTTATGGCTCGCTGTTTTACTTGTTGAACTTCAGTCGAAAAATTCTTTATTTGTTTTTCGATTCTTGTGAATTGCTTATTCATTATGTATTCATTTCTCTGTATTATATTATTTTCCGCTTCTATTATTGTAGTTTGATTTTTTAAGTAATTTTTGCAGATAGACTTCGTTTTGATGGATTAATTTTATGTCTTTAGAGTATTTTTCAGCAAATTGGTCATCCAAAATTCCAAATAAGTAGTTGCTCAATCTTCCCACACCATTAATCAAACCTCTTCTTGCTCTGGAATGAGGTGCAAATTTTAACATATTATTGTAATGTTCTATCTCGTCCAACTCGTGTCTGAACTGAGCAAGTGTGGCAGTGCATGTACCTTCTTCATTACAGATGTTGTATAAATGGTTTAAATATCTTTCCACCTTTTGAATGTTTTTCCAGAATGTTGACATGTTGTAGTATACAATTATGATCCAATGTCTCTCTATAAGTTGCAAATCGGCTGCTCGATCAAAATATAACGCTTTAGTTGATTCTAACTGAGTTATTTTGTAAGTTTGCTGCATCGACGGCGATATAATTGCGATGATAAGTAAGAGCAAACAAATTAAATAATTAGGCTTACTTCTACTGCGTTTTGACGTATGCCCAGTAGCGCCGGGGTCACTGTCCGCGCGCAACGGTTTTTCATCTTGATCAGGGAGTACTGGCAAAGGGCACAGCTTCGTGATAGGCCGTTTCAGGACTCCGTGTTTAGTTTTCAATGTCACAGCGCGAACATACCCGTCCTTGCCGGGGTGCACATCGATGACCTTTGCTAAGGCCCAGTTAGAAGGGGGGTATATTATCTTCCTTCATCACCACTATGCTGTCCAGTTCTATATTTTTCTGAGGTATATGCCACTTGCTTCGTGTTTGTAACGTATGCAAATATTCTGCAGACCACCGCTTCCAAAATTCTTTGTATATCTTCTCAGTTAGTTGCCACCTTGTTTTTACGTTTTCAATATTTATATCCGATAATGGTTCAGACAGAATAGGACCGCCGATAA